TATATATTTATAATCTGCTAATGACACGGCGTAGGTATAGTCCTTTTTCAGTCCTGGTTTAAACCCGGTTAAGTCCTGGTTTAGACTTGGTTTAGTCCTGGTTTAGTCCTGGTTTAGTCCTGGTGTAGTCCTGGCGATCTGCAGTTCGATCAATGCAGTTGCGGCGTGTATATATTTATAATCTGCTAATGTCACGGCATAGGTATAGTCCTGGTTTAGTCCTGGTTTAGTCCTGGCATCGGTTTGGTGGTTGTCATGTATATATATTTATGCTAATGACACTGGTTCAGTCCTGGTTTAGACCTGGTTAAGTCTGGGTTTAGACCTGGTCCAGTCCTGGCGATCGTGTATATATTTATAATCTGCTAATGACACGCCATAGGTTCAGTCCTGGTTTAGTCCTGGACTATTGGGCTGTTGGACTAATTGGCTGACCCCGATTTATCATGGACACAGGTGGGTAACGGGTGGAATGTTAACGGGTCGAGGCGGGTGTGGATTTAACTTTGATATAATCACGGGATAACGGGCGGATGCGGTGCTGAACTGCGCAGGTGTGGGTCTCTAAAAATGGACCCGTGCAGGACTCTGAATCTGTCCTATTCTAGCATGTGCGTGACTCAGCTCTGGTCACTTGCCTCCTCAAAAATACTATATTCACCAAAAACAACATATTAACATGTTTTATAAGTTTCGCTTTTGTTTTTTACACTCTTGAGTCTCCCCTCTGTGCTAAGTCGCTTCCCCTTCAGAGTTCATAGAAGCAACAGAGTACAGCTACACTGATGTTGGCCGATATTTGCTCTTTTTAGGAACTCAACTAGTGGCTTTAAATCTCCAGTAGAGGCCGATATTTTGTTTTGGCCGATCTGCTGCGTAAAGAATACACACAAAACTTTATTTAAACACTGTAATGCAAATATATAACTGCTCAAAATGTTTGACTATGTAGCCCTCTTGAAGGTTTGTGGTTAAAAAAAAAGGGAAAGTGGGCGAAGTGTGTCGTAAATTAAAACAACTTCATTTGGTGAAAATAATCAAAACCGGGCCTACAGATTTGCCAGAAAAATATCTGCAGATCTAATTGCTCTGGACTCTAAACAATCAGCATCTGCCTCGGCCATGAAAAAAACCTATTGGCCGTTCTCTTCAACAGAGTTTTGGATGAGTTCACATTGTGATTCTCATGGCCATATGGCTCTGCCCGCCGGGAGCTGACACTTCTGGAATATTGGGAAAAGTTTCATGAGTTTCTGTCCTGTGACCTTGACCTGTTTTTGTGAATCTAACAGAACACGTCTTATTTCAAATCCCCTCATACAGCGCCTTGTTTTTGTGCATGTTTCACTTTGATCCTATTTGTTTTGTCAGGGACGAGCTGAGGGCATCAAAAGCTGTCACAAACATCTCTCTCTCTCTCACTTCCCCTCTCTTACTCACCTTCCTGCTCCCTCTCTCCTTCTCTTCTACTCCCTCTCTCTTTCTATCTCTCTCTGTGGACAATGTGTTTTTGATTTGAGGGCTGTTTAGGAGCTAATTTCCCTGAACAGGACATGCAGGCTGGATTGATTGGCCCGGTTTGGATTGGAGCGGTGCAGTCGTTTCTCATTACTGGAGACGCATTGATCCATCTCGAAATATATTGGGATGTTTACTGGCCTCCCTCAGAGCCAAATGCATCATGAATATTCAATTACTGTCAGAGGATTTTATATTGGGCCAAGTACAAGGCAGCGGTGGAGATTACAATGGACAGTGTTGCAGAGGTCAATTAGTGGTTTAGACAATCAAACAGTTTAGGGCGTAGGGTGCGGATAATACGAGGAAATGAGGGGGCTTTATTAATAAATCCTGTTACTCACTCTTACTTCCTTGTTAATGCCGTCAGAGGGGAGACTGCTGGGAATAACAGGTGGTACTGTGGGGTTGCTGTGTCCTTAAGCAAGACACTCCACCCACATTGACTAGGAGAGGCGAGTTGTGCAGATTGGCAGCCTCGCGTCCCTCAGTCTGCCCCAGGACGGCCGTTGGTCCAATAGTAGTTTATCACCACCATGGATTATTATTACTGCCATACTTTTACTGTCCAATCCAATCCAATTTTATTTGTACAGCACATTTTGCCAACACAAAGTCTCCAAAGTGCTGCACAGAGTAGGCACAATACAAATTAAGACATGAAATAAAATAAAGCATAATATAAATACATAAGCAAGTCAATAAAAATATAAAAAATACTAAAATGATCAAATAGAATCAATAAAAGACAGTCAGAGGACCACACAGTTCTCACGCCGTGTTAAAAGTCAGTGAGTAAAAGTGTGTTTTTAGACGAGACTTAAAAGAATCGACTGAAGGGACGGTCTTATTGTGAGGTTGGAGAGCGTTCCAAAGTTTGGGGCCCGGTCACCCCAGCGTCACTCCGGCTTTTGAGGTTCGTTTTTGGGGCGACAAGTTGGACCTGGACCTCAAACCTTGGAGCGTATGAAGGAGTGTTGCGAACAGTGAGGTCGGAAATGTACGTTGGAGTCCACGAAGTGCTTTAAAAACAAACAATAACATTTTAAAATCAAATCTAAAATGAACAGGGAGCCAGTCCAATGAGGATAAAATAGGTGTGATGTGTTCTCTACGATGTGTGCCAGATAAGACGTGCTCCAGAATTTTGGACTCACTGTAAGCGTGACAGGTTTGCTTGGCTGATACCAGTGTACAGGGCGTTACAGTAGTACTACTACTACAATGATTGCTGCTATTACTGCTACTGCTGCTACAAAATATACTGCTTTTAAGAATGTTTTCTGTGTGGACCCTAATCGCGTTTGAAATATTTGTCATTTCTGATGTTTCTGATAATTTAACCTTCAACATTTAAACGTCCTATAGTATGCAAAATTTAGTTTTGTGAGCTTTATGCCATGTTATAATGTTGTTACCTCACACATGTTTGAGTAATCCTTTATCCTTTTAGTCTGTCTACATCTCCTAAGTCTCAAAAAATCCACCTTGTGATGTCATGAATAGGGCTGGGTATCATTAAGAAGTTGCCGATACGATACATACCTCGATACGTAGGCCATGATACAATAAAAATCTCAATACAGTGAGCTCTCGATTCGATATATTTCAAATCGATTCAATATGGTTCAATGAAAAATAAAGGCTAAATCATGGCTGTGATACTAAGTCTTTTTTAACCACTTCTTGTGCAAAATGAATATGAAACACACACATTTTAATCCTTAAAACAGTGAAAATGTCAAATAAAGTTTTCTTCCTCTGAACAAGCAACAAAACTATTGCACTGTAACAAAATAATTTAGTAAAATAAGCCAAAAAATACGATATGATATTTTGATACAGCAACCCACGATATCAATACTCTATCACCACATTTAACAATACAATATATCGAAATTTTGATATTTTTGCACACCCCTAGTCTGCCTTTTACCTTTAGTTCAGTAGAGATTGGAAATTCTAGAGCTGAAATTATCCAAATTATTCTAGTGAAGGTGTATGGAGTTAGAAAACACAGTGGAGTACTTCGTGTATTACCACATTATCACAAGGTTGAGTACAGTGTTTTCTTTTTAAGAGAAGAACTTGGCCTAAACATGCAGGATGTGTGTGTTAAACATGTGAGAATGAAACAAAACACAACTCCAGGTCTGTTTGTGATGAGAAAACAACATTATAACATATGTAGATTTGAAAATACTGTAATACAGGCCCTTTAAAGACGCTTCTGAATACTGTTATCAATAAAATACCAAGACATTCATTGTTGTCACCACCCCCGCCCCTAAACCACACCAGAACACAGTTGTATCTGGTATGTGGTTGGTGCAGTGTCCGGGCTCAGCTGGTGTACACAGGCCTGCGGTTCTCGTGGGATTCTTCTCAGCTGTCTCCGTGCAGAGGAGGAAACCACTAAAATGTGAAGGTCAAACTTAAGATCTGTTCTCGGGATAAATGCTGTCTACTGTCTGGTCAATGGAAGTGCCAGAGAGACCGCCCTCTGACTGCTGCAGCATTGTACAGATCAACAATGGAGCTTTTTCAGTGTTTTTGTAGTAGTAGGTGTTGTAATAGTATTAGTTTCAGTAATTTGGTGCTTGTTAATTGCAGTAGGAAGGGTAATTGGTCTATTAATTAAGTATACAGCCAATCCTCTGTCACTAATGCCGGGTGTACACTGTGTGATATTTTTGGTCGTGTCACTCAGCCCCAGCTTAAACTGTACGACCAAATCGCAGGGTTTAAAAGTTCATTGCTCACGAATCATGTTCTCACAATATACGAAAGATGCTCAGATGCAATAAATACAAACAGTAATAACTAGCGGTTGTCACTTACATATCCTTAACAAACTGGTTTGAATATTTGCTTCATATAGTTTTCTACCATATGGTACAAGATTAGGTTGAAAAACCTCTTACTTTTTGAGTAATGAGATTTTTTATTAAGAAAGGTCATGGTAACGGAGGGAAAAGTAACGGAGGGAAAATTGTGCAAACAAGTAGAAGGTGCATGATTTTACATAATTTGTCGCTTTTTTCTTCTGAATACTTTAATATTACTTCAAAATGAAAGGAAACTATTTCTATAAAATATGTCAGTCCTTCCAAGCAAATTTTTATCATTTTAAATAATTTTTTTTTTGAAAAATCATGTACCTTCATCAACAGTTCAAAGATGGAATAACACAAGATATGATGAAATACATCCATTTATTTACATGATTTGCAGGTCTTTGAAATTTGGGAAATCATTTTTGTTCCATGTTTCATACATGATCTGTTTAAAACGTATGTAACTTTAGAACCAAAAATGGTACAGAAAAAAGGTAAACAGTTTCATAAACTAGAGTACATATGTATCTGTTCAATACATTTTTATATCAGATGCATTAACTTGAATTTTTGTCCTTGCTGTTTACTTCTGCTTGACCAGGCCCAACTGTCTCCTTTTAACCTTACCGTCTGTTGTGTTCACAGGAGGACTACGACAGACTTCGCCCGCTCTCGTATCCCATGACCGATGTCTTCCTCATCTGTTTCTCGGTGGTGAATCCGGCCAGTTTCCAGAACGTCCGAGAGGAGTGGGTCCCAGAGCTGCAGGAGTACGCCCCCAGTGTCCCCTACCTGCTCATCGGAACGCAGGTCAGTCTCTATTATGGTACCAGTCTATTTCTAGCCATAGGTTTCAGAATGATGAAAAATTAGGACAGTTCCCACGGAGTGATTAAAGGGGTCATATTACACAGTTTTTTTATCCATGTTATAATGTTGCTGCACATGTTTAACACACAAACCTGCACATTTAGGCTGAAGTTCTTCTCTCAAACTGAAAACACGCTTTAAACCACACACCTTCATTAGAATCATTTGCATAGTTACAACCCTGGAATTGCCAGTCTCTACTGAACTAAAACCTGGTAAAATTTGAAAACTTAAACTATCGCTTCAAGACATCACAAAATGCAACGGAGCATTTTGAGCTTTGGAGATGTAGACAGAAAACAGGATTATGTGTGAATGAAACAAAACACAGCGCCAGGTACTGGATGAGGTAATGACATTATAACATTGAAAAAATATATATATATATATGATGGGATAATGGGAATCAGAAAAAGTCTATTACAGAAAGCTGAAACCCAAGTACAGGCTGGTAGAGCTGTGTAAAGTAAACAAATATTACACCCAATCGAGGTGTAACAGTCGACAAAAATCACGGTTCGGCTTTGAGGTCATGGTTCGGCTCGTTTTCGGTAGAGTATGGGAACAAAATGTTTGTTCTTTATTTGGTTGTTTATTAAACCAACAATTTGTTTTAACATTATACAAACGGGAAAATAAAATAAATGCAAAGTGCTGCTTGGTAATACTAATAAGTTAAATTAAATATTCTCAGATAAGCAACAAATGTTTGACATATTATAAAAAATAAATTCCTTGTAGACAGTAAACAAAACTTTTCAAAAAGTAAAGCGCAACAATAACAGTTCCAGCATGAAGTTTTACTCGATCTTCATATTTTTGGCCAGAAAAAACAGCTTGTCCACACTGTCTGCAGTAAGTGAGCACCGAGGGGCGACAATTATAATTTTGCTAGGATTCATGTGGTTCGGAGGGACGTAGTCAAGGCGGGGGGCAATTGTTGTCAAGGTGGCTGCCATAACTATAAATCACTGTGGGAAACACTGCCATCCCAATCACTGACATGTTCCCTAGTGGACTTTATAGATTAATATTACAACAACACATCAATAGGGTAAAACTAACCTGTCTCACGAGGGTCCAAACCCAGCTCACGTTCGTTATTAGTGGGTGAACAATCGAACGCCTGGTGAATTCTGCTTTACAAAGAACCCTCGTGAAGAGCCGAGCTTTCTGTGTAGCTGCACTTGTAGTGGCTGAATGTAAACACACTACTACTACTAAAGTATATTTGATGGACTTCTGATTTATGATTTTGTGCTAATATAATTGAACTTGCCAAAAGAAGGGCATCTGATGTAAACAATGACTATTGGAGCCAGGACTCAAACTTCCTTTGTTTAAACGTAAATATAAATCCTATGCTTAAAGACTATTGTAATACCCACTCCCGCTAATGTAACTGCTGCTATTATTCTAATTTATTCCCCCTCTATGGCCCATTACTTTTACATGCAAAGTGTGGACACCTGCTTCTTTATGCGCCTGCCATAACATTAAACTACTCCTCTTAAACCTGCGCAGACCTCTCCTGGTACTGTAAATGCGGCGGTGTTTTGAGCTGAGCAGAGACGACCACTCGACCCTGCTCCTGTCCTCACCCTGTCAGACTGTCCTTGCACCTGTCTCTGACCCTGAGCCTGTTATGAGCCTCTGTGCTGCTGGAGCCGTACTAATGTGCCTGTCACGGAGTCAATGGGAGACAGAGGTTGTGCGTTTAGAGCTCTATTGTTTAGGGGTGTGCAAAAATATAAAAATATCGACATATCGTATAGTTTAATGTGCGTGTTACAGTGCTACAGTTTTGTTCCTTGTTTAGAGGAAGGAAACTCATTTATGCAACACATTTGACATTTTCACAGTTTTGATGATTAAAATGGGTGTGTTTCATATTCGCTTTGCACAAGAACTGGTTTAACAAAGACTTTTAGTATCACAGCCATGATTTAGCCATTATTTTTATTGAACTGCATCGAATCGATTTGAAATATATTCTATTGAATCGAAATTGCACTGAATTGAGATCGTCGTATCGTGGCCTATGTACTGAGGTATGTATTGTATTGGCCCAGCTTTACTATTGTTAGTGGATTATTAGTTAGATTTTAGTGTTTAAAAATATTGTTTGTGATTTTTTTTTCCCCTTTCTGGGTTATAAGACGAAAACTATTTCAATTCTGGCCTATTCTCTTACACCAGGTGCTTTTTGGGCACTTACTTAAAAGAATGAGAACTTGGCACATCAATTACTTGAGACAGGTGTGTTGGAGGAGCCCAAGAACATAGAGAAAAATCCCGCACACCGTCTTACTTGCAAAATGTGAGATTTATTAGGACATACAACGTTTTGGCACTAGGCCTTCATCAGGCAAAAAGGGCACTGACTTAAAAACATATTTTGGCCTATTATTTCTTATATCCACACATTCAGATGGACTGCCAGAGCAAGAACTGCATGTTCATGTTCTTGGGTTGACTTTTTAAGCCAGATGTGCTTCCTGGGACACACAACGTACCATTTAAGTAACCAAAAGAAAAACATTAAGGCACATGACTCTTAGGCTACATTCAAACTGCAGCCGGAAGTGACGAAATCCATTTTTTTCTCCCCTATGTGATCTGTATCTGATCTTTTAATCACAGTCTGAACGACACAGATCCAGTTTTTTTCAAATGTGACCCAGGACACTTGGATATGTGCTCCTAAACCCATACATATCCGATCTTTTGACATGTGACTTCAGTTTGAACGGCCAGGTCACATTCATCCCACCTACACGTCAGACTCGGAGTCTAGTCAATGGAGGGAAAGTGGGGTTAGTGAGTTAATTAATATTTGGGGGGATCGCTGTATTCAGGTCAAATTAGAGGGGTCTTATGGGAACTGGGCGGTTTTTGAAATGATTGCCAAAGAAATGTCCGAGCGCGGCTACAGGCGTCCTGGCTCCAATGTCAACAAAAAACAAATAGTCTGTGAACCAAATACAAGGAGGCTAAAGACTCAAACTGTAACCTGTCCATTTGATGAAGAACTGGACCGTATTTTGGGAGACAAGCCCAGCGTTTAGGCTATTTCCGTAAACACTGAACGCGCTCGCTGTGTGTGACTCTGTCGTGTCCTCCAGTGAGCATGTGGGACGCTTTTGGGGCGTTTAAAGTTCACACCGGAGATCACAAACAAGCCGCGTTTAATTGGAAATGGTTAGAAAATCCGAATTGAGCATTGAGCCCTGCAGCCTCAACGCAGCCTTAGACGCTAATAGATACAATTAGTTTGAGCAAATGTTCCAAGCACATCCAAAATCCCAAACCCTACAAAATGACTATAGCGTCTCTGTTTCTCTGACAGAAAACAGCCTAGAAAGCAGACCTATTTAAATCAGTGTTACTCCTAATCTGCGCCTCTATAGCCTGTGTTTCTCACTGAGCCCCGAGCATATGTACCGCTGCTAAACCTGAAAATCAAAAGTCTGTTTTTTGGTCTGTTTCCTGGCAACCGCTGCTCCTGCTCTGGCTCACGGTATCAGATGAATGGGGTGGGCGAGAGACTGAAGCCACGTTGTAGAGTCATGTTTACGAGCGTTTTATCCACTATACTCGTAACTTACACATCGTTCCGCCACTGGGGGATAAAGAGCTGCAAATTATAGCAATCACTAAAGGGTTAATTGTACCCTTGGCTGCACAGTGAGATGGAGGTGCCTGTTCTAATGGTTGCAACAGTTCAAATGAGCGTGTGTGTCTGTGCGAGAGGTGCAATAGGAACAATAAATCAAGTTGAACTGCTTTAAAATAGTACCAAAAAAAAGCTCATCGAACGCCTGAAGAGGTTTTAGATGTCATCCATGCATGTTTCAGTCATTGAGCTATCTCTCCCAGGTCCTATTTGAACACTCCTTCCTGCTCATCCATCCTGCCCGCGTGCCAAATCTCTATAAATATACAAAAGCGTGATACCAAACAATACACGACAACTTGACAAACCTGATGCGACGCGGTAGTTTAATTAGCAGGATGCGCGCTGATTGTGTTGTGACAGCAGGGAGAAGGGGAAGCGCCGAGAGCAAAGGGAATTGGGACTTTTTTTTCTGCAAATATGGCATTTTAAAAACAATTAAAGGTAACATAGTGATCTAAATATGTGATGTGTTAGCAGTAGGGATGTAACAATAACCGAAATATCGTGATATCGTATCGTTCAAAGTTAAATAATATCGTGGACCATCACATTGTATCGAATTACAAGTCTCTTTGCTTAAATTAAGAGTTATGGTGCAGCAAATGCTAAAGAAAGACAGAGGGAACTACATAGACCATGATCCTTTGCTCCTTTTCAGTGTAAACTACAAGAAGAAATAACAGTTCTAAGCACTTTTAAGTGTTATTTCCTTGGGTTAAGTCTTGTCGAGGCATTTTAAGAGGAAAAAGTTGCACATTCACAGTTTTGTTAACCTCGACAAAACGTCGCAATAAATATCATACCGTGAGATGTATATCGTGAAAATATCGTACAGAGAGATTTGGATAGTTGTTACATCTCTAATCGTGAGCCTCCCCACCATATCGTGAGCTTTCCCACGATATCGCAATAAATATCGTAACATGAGGTTCATACCGTGATGATATCGTACTGTGAGACTTGGATATCGTTACACCCCTAGTTAGTTAATACAAGGAAGGTAACAATAACCAAAATATCGTGATATGGTACCGTCAAAAGTCTCACAATAATATCATGGGCTGTCACAATATATCGAATCACAAGTTCCTCTGCTTAAATGCATGTTTTTATAGTAGCAACAGCTTATAAACATTGGAAACTACATATCCCATGATTCATTTCAGTGCAAACAACGTGAAGAAATATGTTTTTTACTTGTATTCTTGGGATTATGATGGTAATAATTCACACCAAAATCTTGTCAAGGTATTTTAAAAGCAAAAAAGTGTCTCATCTACAATTCTCTTCAAAATATCGCAATAAATATCATTCCCTGAGATGCATATCGTGATAATATCGTACCGTGAGATTTAGATATCGTTACGTCCCTAGTTAATACTGTAGAAGTGTAATACTCCTCTTTAAACATTGCAACAAACTGCCCTGCAATTAGGACATCTTACAAAAACTATTAGTCAGAGCATTACCCAATCACGCTGAAAGTTAATGGTTCAATCCCAGCTTTGACCTGTCAGTATTGTCATTGTGTCCATGGTTAAAACACTTCACCCACCCATGTTACGTATGAATGTGGTTGTAATTGGGTGTGGGAGTTTACCCCAGGGCAGCTGTGACGACAGAACTAGTTTACTGCTGTCAGTGGGAGGCGAATGAATAATGATTATAATAATACAGCACCTAGAAGAGCTTGTCAACGTTGTAAAGTAGAATGCAAATGATAACCTAGAGCTGCTTGATTATGGAAAAAATCATTATCACGGTCATTATGGGCAATATTGAAATCATGATTATTCAAACAATAATTTTTTTAGTAACACAATGCATTTATTCAGCATTTCTCTCTCTCGAAAACACTTTGTTATCAATAATTTATGCAAAACGTTCAAATTGAAAATAAATACAGGCTACAAATATGAACCTTAGAGCAGTTTTGCGTTGTATAAAACATAAAATTAATAAATTATACTTTAAACATAAAGTAAGGCATAGAAAAACATAAGTGTATCCAAAATAAACGATATATCCAGCTGTTCTACAATCTCTATATTTAAAAAGTAAAATTAATATCCTTATTTATGTAAAAAAAAAATATATATATATATCCCAAACTGAACTTTATTAACCTTTAATAGTTTCAACTCGATTATATGAGTTTGGAGATCGTTTGAGACACAAATCGAAATCGCAATCAAAATCCGATTAGTTGCACAGCCATTATTAGAATCAAATTATTTCACTAGCCTGCAATTAAACCTGATGCCATTCCTCATACAGTATGCTTATTCATGATTGCGACTAACATTACTTTCCTGGCTTGTATTACCTACTCAAATAGTCTTATTAAAGTAATCCTAACTAATATTCAGTATACAAGTATCTAGTTTCACCAGTGGATTATTGTAAATGCACTGGCCTGAGGAAACCTCGTGGTGTGAAGTGTTTTGCAAAAGCGCCGGAAGTGTGGGCCAACAAGTTTGAGGCACAGAAAAACACTGGGCCTTGACACATGGCTACAGTTAATCCGGTTACGTAAACTGGCAGCTGTGCCTCTCCAATAAAACATTAAACATAGCTCTCCATGTGAAACTGAGGAGCATCACACCTGTTCCACTAACAAGCCCAAATCTGCAATATGCTTCAACTGACAAACTATCAACATGCAAATGGGACTCACTGTCGTCTGCAGCAGCCTCTGGAAAACACGCAGCAATCAAATGCACTGTGTAACTCAAAGCTACTTTTAAATGAAGATATGGTAATACTTGCTGCTTCCTAGAAATACATGCTTTATTATGCTTGTTGACTTTTTAAAGGGGCACTATGTAGATTTTTTCATGAGGGATCTGCTATCTTTTTGTGTCCATGGAGATATTATTGCTTTGCCTGGAATGTTTGACAGTATGAGCAGTATAAACTTATTTATGTCGCAATTATATTTATTGTAAAAAAATATATAATAAATACATAAATTAATAATAATAATAATAATAATAATAATAATAAACAATTAATAATAATAATAATAATAATGATAATAATAATAAAAACATGCTGTCACGCCCCTGCTTACCTGAGTCTTCTGGGTGTGGATGTGGGCGGAGTCTGCTGGGAGCACCTGAACACCATCTGCAATCAAACCTGCTACAAAGGCCCAGCTCTCCTGCCAGACTCTGCCAGATTGTTTCGTCTACCAGATGGTGATTTCCTTGTCGGCTCAGTTTTTGATTTTTCCCTCACTCGCTGTATACTTACCTGCATTTTTTGTACTCCTAGTTCCCGCCATTGAAGACTCCTGCATCCCGGCAGCTGGCTCCTCATCTCTTCTCCGCCTGTCCACCCTGGTTAATAAACCCTTGTTACTTTTGCACCTTGTCCTTGTTTTGAGTCCTTTTTTTGGGTCCACTCCAGTGGCACGTAACAGAACAATCTGGCCAAAACATGGACCCAACAGACTCAGATCCTTTGTTCCAGGCTGTCTCCAATCAAGGTCAATTACTGGGGAAGCACGACAGTCAACTCAAGGAGATTGTTGGAAACCAGCAAACGTCTGCGCTAGACTTGACAGAATGAACCAACCAAGACTGAACTCCTCAAACTGCACCTCTGACACCTGGATTTTACTCCCAGACCAACTCCTGCACATGGATCCTCACTTGAGTGTCCTACTCCATCAGACCTGGTCCCTGCTGGTCCCTGTTGAACCCTGATGAACACTTGCTGCCCTGTGTTGACCTTCCTTGTGCCCTGAGCCACCGCCAGACAAGTATCTCCGTCCGGGGTGGCTACCTGTTCCTCAGTACCTTCCTGTGATGTCAGCACAGCAGCTGCTTCCTGCTCATCGCCTGGACTCCATTAAGCAGGTTTTTGCTCCTCACCTGAGATCCTCACTACACACTGTCTCGCCTTCTTTGCAGTCCACCATGTTCCTGAATTTTCCGGACTCGTCACTGCAGCCTTCTGAAATTTCACCTTTACATCTGGAGTCTTTGGATGTTTCCAACTAGTCCCTGCCACTGTTGGATTTTTTGTATTTATTTATTTTTTTTAAAGTCTCTGGACTCTACTGGTACTGCCTTTCTAGTTGGTTTGATTTTTCCCTCGCTCGCTGTATGTATACTTGCATTTTTTGTACTCCTAGTTCCCGCCATTGAAGACTCCTGCATCCCGGCAGCTGGCTCCTCATCTCTTCTCCGCCTGTCCACCCTGGTTAATAAACCCTTGTTACTTTTGCACCTCGTCCTTGTTTTGAGTCCTTTTTTTGGGTCCACTCCAGTGGCACGTAACACATGCATTCTTACTAGGGCTGGGCAATGAATCTAATCAAGAGTCTTTAATAATTGGCATTTTGAAAACTTAAATCGTGAAATCCATTATACTATGAAACAAGTTTACTCCTGACTAGGGTTGATACCGTTAAACCTTCTCAGGATTTTACCGGGGTATACAGCATTACCGTATTACCAAAATGTTTTAGTATGACTTTGGTAAACTACAAAGCCACACCGATATACAGTCTATGCGTATGACCTGCAGACTTATAATCTCTGAAAAGTTTCACATGAACCATCTCCAACATGATACATGCACAGAACAGACTCACCATCAGCAGCACATCCTGTCACAGAGAGAACACACATAACCCACTGAGTCATGTCCTTCAGACAGAAGCTGAACTGCATCAGTGCACAAGGAAAGAGCTGTTTTTATCAGGGCTTTATAGTTTATGCAAATGAGCCATGTGATTTTAATTTTAATTTTAATTTTCGTTTCCGTAAAACAAAGAAATGTGCGCCCGAAGCCAAAATGCTGCCGAATTGCAGAAGTACTAGTATTTTTTGGGGGGACCAACTTGCTTACGGTCAGATTTGCTTTGTCTTGTCTTGGTCTCCCCTTATGAACATCACGTGACAACGGAACGAAACTCCCCACGCAGTTAAAAGAAACATTATAGATGCTATTAGTTTTACATCATGATAGCATTAAATTAAAAATACATCCACATATTCATTTGTGCTGAGCAAACAAATTTTATCAGTAAGTTATAATATTATATTAGGTCCTTATGCGCTGCAGATTTTTTAATGATGGTAATGAAACTGATACCGTTGCTACTTTTTGATACCCCAGGATACCGTAATACCATATTACCACCCAACCGTACTCCTGACTTTCTTGCAAAGCAGGGATACTGTGCAATTACAATTGGACATCTACAAATGTAATTTAAAGTTATTTACGATTTCTTAAATAATAGCACATAATAAGAATGAAAACTGTAGGGACTCCTCCACAGATCTGATCTGCATCTTGGCCTGGTGGTGCTTCCTCCAAGGAGACAAGCATGTGCCAGACTCTATACCAGAAAAGTTACACAGTGCATATCCATGTTATAAGTGAGAGGTGCTTCCTGGTTGAATAATCCTTTACTGAGCTTTAAATGAAAGACTATACCGATAGTTCTGTGGGTATATGGAACAGTTTATGGAAACTCATTTTATTTCAAGGACACAGTCAGCACTGGCCTCAGCTATGGGCAGATAGTCAAAACAAACAATCATATTTGGGCTACAAAAGCATTGCCTCGGTCCAACCTTTCTCTTCTCATTTCAGATCGACCTCCGCGATGACCCCAAGACGATCGCCAAACTGAATGACCTGAAGGAGAAGCCCCTCACCACGGAGCAGGGGCAGAAGCTGGCCAAGGAGGTCTGTGTCTTAAGAATTATAAAAAACAAAAAAAAAACTTTACTAGAAAAAAAAAAAAAAAAAATCACATAAAGATGACTATTTAACTAGCTGTTCACCCAATAGTTTTAATACTATTATTTTGTGTGGGGGAAAAAAGTGATATTGTCTAAATGTTGCCTTAAAATCAGTATCAAGTGTCAAATCTTTTCGTTATTACCAAAACTGAGAATGAAATTTCAGCATCCTGACAACATTAGTACATATTTTCACTTTAATCATTGGAGAGTTGTGCTGTCGGGCCGGCGGCTTATAGAGCCAGAGAGGGGCCTGCAGGACTCTGAGGGGAAGTAAAGACATCTGTGCATTACTCCAGTGCAAATGAATGTAGTAATTTCCTGCAAAATTGTCTCACAATATGAAAAACATGTAGCAACTATGTGTAAAGGTTTTTGTTCGTGCAATAAAATAAGATTTCTGCCCTTGTAAAAAGACTGTAAAAGCAGCTCTTACAGTTAAAATGAGACCACTGTTTGCTGTTTTTATTGTCTCTGAACCAGGAAATAAGGCTGATAAATAAGGCTCTAAAACTAAACTAAAAAATTCAACTCATAACGCTGAATAATTGGGATGCTAGGAAGTGTTAGGACTGCTGCAAACCATTTAAAATCAATTTGTTTTGTCTTGAATTTGTCTTGTTGCTTTAATATTGTAGTAAAACATTTAGACAGGGACTGGACATAATAGTGACTTGAAGCTTGCATATCAAAAATATCAAAATTGGTTTAAAACTTGACTTAAACGGGACTAAACCTGAACTATATAAGGCTAGAACAGGACCAAACCAAGTCTACACCAGGACTAAACCAGGATCAAACCCATGTGAACACAGCCTACTGTATATATCAACAGAAAAGACTAAACGTGAATTTAAAGCAACAACAAAAGATGCATTATGTTATTTTCTGGTGGACGATTCGCCACCGTCTTGTCTCCATGGAGATTTTATTGCCTTGCCTAGAAGTTTCTAGCCTGATTCATCAGCCGGTTTTACTTCGTTTCACTTCGTACAAACTGTCTGACCTCGCAGCCTTAGATTTCGTTCGCTCGACAGTAGCTGGGTACTTTTTATCATTTAACCAATCACTGCTATTTGGTCGTGACGTATGTAATGCGCCGCTAATGGGGCTAACTGGTAAATTAAGCTTTTCCCAAATCTGGTAGGAAGAAGGGCAATAACGTGTTTCCCCTTGATGAAATTCACCAAACATTCTCTTTATTCCGGCTTTAAACCCTCGATCTCGGGAATCGTTGACAACACTGAATATATCACTCTTCACTGATTGGCTGGTGCCCGAACTTGCACTTCTGGGGATTTTGCGAACCATCTATTGTATTTTGATTCCTGACCTAGTCGCTGGAGAGAAATGAAATTGAGCGTAGGCACTAGGTGGTGCCAGCCTGGCTAAGAAGATTCCACAGCATGGCATTAAACTTATCCATTTCCCTTGACACAAGCAGGCTACACCACCAGGCCACGTTACAGGTCAGATCTGTGGAGAGTGGTGACACAGCTCACAGTATAAATGCATAAAGTCTTTTAGGAGGTACTTTAGCAATAAACACGGCTATAGCTGAAGACAAGTACTTGCAGGATAAACAGAGATAAGCTTAATGCTATACAGTACCGTCAAATGCCATTCCATAGAGACGAGCAATTGGCAGTCGCCCCACTAGAAAAGTTATAATGTGCCGCTTTCAGATTGCATTTTGAGACTTTAGAGAGCCCACACAAAACGACTTTAATGTGAAATTCCACTTATGTGAGAAAAATACTAAAATTGGAGTACTTTTGAGTGATTTCCGACCTTGGACATTCAATCTGATGCTGAATATGTCTCAAGGCTAAAATCTAAAACCATGCAGCCTTGACTAGAGGCTCATGTTGCTAAGGACAGCAATGACTGTGGATTTAAAGCAAAGACTGTATATATAAATGGACATAGCTAACCTGCGTCCAAATAGGAAGTGAGCATGGGCGTGCCTCTGGCTTCATTGGCTCCGGCTCAAATTCACTTTGTATTGAAAAAACATCGCCCCGCTCTCTGAAACTGCTGCTGTCAGACTCCTCATTTTAGTCTTAAAATGTTCGTATATAACCCGCTCTACATGATCCTAGTATTTTTATTTCACTATTTTGTCTATTCTTAATATGGAACTGGACTGGAGCTGAACATGGGTGACATTACACTCCCTTAGTCCACTTCTTTATACAGTCAGTGGTTTAAAATAGTGCAACACAGTATTTTCTAATTTTGTGTGTATATTTGAACACTAAAAATTAAACCACATTATGTCAGTGGGGTGACGTTGAAGTGTTATTTTTGCTGCAGGTATTCAAAACCATTGTTCAGGATGTGACTACTTCCTCTTGCACATATGTTTAGTCTTGTGTTACCTCTTGTACCACTCAAAGCAGCAGTCTACTGTTTTGAAATACACATTAATGCGCTATTTTCAATCACACATTTCTGGTTACAATTAGCAAATGCTGCAATTATGCAATACTGTCCTCTGGAAATAACAAAATATTCTGTCTACATGAGATCTTATTATGTAAAACCTGTTTACTCTGTAGTTAACACCTCTACAAGCATGTTCTGAAATGCATGATTCTTGTTCAAGAGACTGATATATAAAATTGGCCGATATATATTTGGGTATGAACTATAGGCTTTTAATACAACATAGGCTGATATGCTGATATGATTTTCTGGTGGAGGGCACGTCATATTGTCTCCATGGAGATGTTATTGCTTGGCCTGGAACGTTTCATTAGCCTGATTCATCAGCCAGTTTCACTTCGAAGGTCAGACGGTTTCCACATTTACACAATGGTAGACGGGGACTTTTTTTATTTAATCGCTGCTATTTGGTCGTGACGTACGTAATTCGCCAAATCCCAGAGGAAGAAGGGCAATAACATCTTTCCCCTTGACAAAATTCACCAAACATTCTCTTTGTTCTGGCTTTAAATCCTCGATCTGGGGAATTGTTGCCAACACAGAATATATGGCTTCGTCTACACCCATCTCGACCTCTTTGTTTACTGTTGTGCTGTTCCACAAAAGGGGCCCAGACATGGCTTCACAGCTCTTCACTGATCGGTCTACAACTTCTGGGCAAACCATCTAGTCTATTCTAATTCCTGACCTAGTCGCTGGAAAGAAATTAAATTGAGCGGAGGCACTAGGTGGCGCCAGCCTGCCTAATGTTCCATAGTATGAAATTAAACACATCTATCTAGCATTTACTCATTATGGATGTTTCTTTTGCTCAAAAATACAACAAATCTCTCTGTAAATATGGTTGCCTATCCATAGATCTGACCTGTAACATAGCCTATAGTTGCCTCTCTTGAGATAGATAGGTTAAATCTCTACCGTGGATCATTCTAGATAAAGCAATAACATCTCCATGAAGACAAGCAGGTGAAGGACCCTCCACTAGAAAAACTGCGTAATGCACCTTTAAATGCAAAGAGACCACTGCTCAAAATGTGACTACACCACTCTCTGATGGGTTTGCAGTGAAATGAGATTGTGGATAAGTGAATTATCATTTCAAATCATATTATTTGGGTAGAAATGATCAAAATCGGTCCTGTATATTGTCAAAAAAAATAAATAAAACAAACAAAAAAAGTCAGTCTCTTAATTGTTTTGTTAGTTTGCCAGTTCACTTTAATCTTAAACCCTTGAATACTTGAAATTGCCTTTAATCTCTAAACGTATTGTCAATCTAATCAAAACTATAATACTTATCAGCAAAACTTTAACTTTTTGACTTTCATCCCCTACAGTCTTACAGTTGCCGCATTGATGTTATGCAAAAAAGGTGTAATATAGGGCACCTGTATCCCCTCCACTGCTTTTCTAGGCCTGTGTCCGGTTGCATAAGCTGTCTGCATGAGGCTATAACAAGGGCGGAATAAACAGGATTAATGACACTGGCTCTCTGTGATTGCATTGAAATTGGCTCCTTGCAAAATGAAACCATAATATATTACAATGTTTCACCCTTAACAAGAAAACAAGCCCACAGCACTTCACTGCACATTAAGTATTAAATGTCTATTTATAATCCTGGCTGTTTAAATTACCTGGAGTTTAAAGCTGGAGAGGACCATGTATTCGATTTCTCCACACATACAGATTTCCTATTTGAGTTTTTGCTGGAGTGTTGCTCTAAGGCTGAGGATCGAAGCAGGGAGGTTGTGAGTTTGATTGTCAGTCTATACCGATGAATTAATTAATGTCAAAGGTCTGATCTTACTCAAAATCTACTCATGTGAGCTTTTGGCCATGTTAGAATGATGTTACCTTCTTAAAAACATACCTGGAGTTGTGTTTTTGTTTCATTCATACATAATAATCCTGCATTTTTAAGCTGTATACATCTCCAAAACTCAAAATACGCTGTTCCTCCTTGTGATTTCAACTTTTACTGTAGTAGAGATTGGGAATTCTAGGGCTGAAATTACACAAATAATTCTAGTGAAGATGCATGGAGTTTAAAAAACACAGTGGAGCACTTCCTAAAACATGAAATCACAAGGAGCAGCAGAGTGTTTTCCATTTGAGAGAAGAAATCTGTAAGGTTTGTGTCTTCAGCATGTGTAAATGAAACAAAACTAAACTCCAGGTCTGTTTGTCATGAGGAAACATTATAATAATTCAGAAAATAGTGTAAAATGGACTCTTTAAAAGTTAAACTGACTAATCAGCTTTTAATTATATGCCCGTTAGTCAGAGGGCAGTTTTTTATTATTTGTAGTTGTCACAGAAACCACCACCAGACCAAATTACAGGTCAGATCTGTACAGTAGAGAGGTTCCCCCGCATAGAGTAAGACTGTCTTGGTTTTCAAGGTATTTTTGAGAAATAAAACACATGTAACTGAATAAATACAAGATAGATAAGTTCAGTGCTATACCGTGGAACATTCTAAGCATTAACATCTCCATGGTGACAAGTGGCAGAACCTCCATCAGAAAAGTTACACAGTACATCTTTAAAACTCCATAAGCCAAATAATATATACCATATTTTTCAGACTATAAGGCGCACTTAAAATCCTTAAATTTTCTCAAAAATCGACAGTGCTCCTTATGTATTAATTCTGGTTCTGCTTACTGACCTCAAACTGATTTTATGTGGTACACGGCGCTAAAAAATCTGTCAAAATGTTTTAGCATGAGTTTAGTAAGCGAAGCCGCACCGGTTGATGAATTGTCGGAGCATTACGGCTACTGTAGTCAGGAGCCTCACGGAGTTAGTCCGACAGAAGCTGACCACACCAGCGCACAAGGAGCGAGCTGTTTTTTTCTTTTTTTTTTTTTTTCAGCGCTTATAGTTTCTGCAAATTAGCCATGTGGTTTTAAGTTTTGTTTCTGTAACATGTAAACAAATGTGCGCAATAATGTATTAAACACATTATTACTCAATGTATATTTGAGTCCTCCTTGTAGAAAAAAAAACAAACTTAAATTATCCACCCACATTCACATTCATAAAACACATTCACCAAGACAGGGAGGCGACACCGGGCGAATTACACCACGATCTGCCAATGGATCGTGGACGCCTGGGCTATCAGTCTCAAGTGTCGTCTGTTTGTTTTGCTTAAAGGTTGTATAGAGGAAGAGAAATACAGCGACAGTCCTTGTGCGCTTTCAGAATTACTGTTGAAGTTTCCTGTCTAGAAGTAATTCAGCGACCGACGCGTCAGTTTTTAGACGCTTCGTCTGCTTCGGTCGCGCCATCACTGGACGAGATCTCCAAGAATCACCTCAGTTTGGCTTTGCTCCTTTTCCTCTTCTCTTCTTCTTTCAGCGACCTCAAAAATGGACTTTCTTTTGCGGCGAACCGGTCGTAGATTCTCGTCCGCCGTCGTGACAAACTTTGTGCGAAATGCGAGTCAGTTACACTAGGGAGTTTGATTGACAACCTAACAGCCAATAGAAAATGAGGGAGCCTCGTTTTCTATTGGCTGATGTTTATCTGGCCTCAACACGTCCACAGTTGATAGATTTTTGTTCTTTTTTTTTTTTGGTCATCATAATTACAAAGCTGCTGCGTCTCTGTAACGGTGTTTTAATCTTTCACTGACAATTTGAAACAAAAACAAAAAAATCCTCCATACAACCTTTAATGCGCCTTATAATCCGGTGCACCTTATGTATGAAAATAGACGAGAGAATTCAACATTATTGATACTGCGCCTTATAATCCGAAAAATACAGTAGTACTGTTGTTGCATTTATGTGACTTTTTTGTTGTTGATTTTTTTTTTTTTCAGATTGGAGCTTGTTGCTATGTGGAGTGTTCAGCTCTGACACAGAAAGGCCTGAAGACTGTGTTTGACGAGGCCATTATCGCCATTTTAACCCCCAAGAGAAAGAAGGGGGCGCTAAAGAGACGACTGGGCCCGAGATGCATAAACTGCTGCCTCATCACGTGATACAAAACCAACCACAAGAGACCACAGCGGCCAAAAACCTGGACTGAACCTGGTCTGAACCTGGACTTAACCTGGTCTGAGCCTGGGACTAAATCGGGTCTGAACCTGGACTAAACCTGGACTTGAGACTAAAGGGATCATGCACAGACTAGACTGGATACCGCTGCTGTCCGTGGCCGGGTTTGAAATGCAGTTTACACCAAAGGAGCACAAAACCCAAGTCTCTTCTATCAAAGACTTCTATGCCTATTTTATAACCATTTTTAATCATTTTGTTCCTGTATAAAGCTGCCATATAAATAGATATATCATTTAAAGGGTTCAAGGTGATGGATTTTTGAAGTAAGACTATAGTTTTGAGTAGAGAAATGCAAAGGTTTAGGTTGTAAAGATTGTCAAAAAAAAAGAGTTTGCGTCTGATATTTTGTATGGCTTTAATCAATGCATTGTAGTTGGTTTTTCCGAGTATTATATTGATTATATTGCCAGTCAGATTATTGTTTCTCAGTGAAGCATGTGACACAAAGGAGCTCGTTGGTCAACTATCATATAGAGGCAAAACTTTTACGCTTTTTCTTTTACATAGTTTAGTGCTTCTCTCATTTGTCCTTTCCCTGATTGGCTAATTCACCCGTCAATCAAGCCTCACATATCTTCACAAAGTGTTAAAGAAGTGTGTATTCTGGATCCCAGGCAAATTACTAACCACAAACTCAAATTGTGTAGGTTCTGAACCAAAATAAACAGAGACCAGGAAAGAAATTCAAACTTGCACCCATTTTTTTCCCATTGACAATGATTTGCAGCATTTGAATTCAAAGCTATAATAGGGATGTAACAATAACTGAAATATCGTGATATCGTATTGCCAAAGGTCTCGTTGACCATCACAATGTATTAAATTATAAGTCTCTTCGCTTAAATTAAGAGTTATGGTGCAGCAATTGCTAAAAAAAAGACAGAAGGAACTACATAGACCATGATTCTTTGCTCCATTTCAGTGCAAACTACAAGAAGAAATAACAGTTCTAAGCACTTTTAAATCTTTTTTCTTGGGATTAAGTCTTGTCAAGGCATTTTAAAAGGAAAAAGTAGCATGTTCACAATTTACTTAACCTCCAAAAAATATCAGAATAAATATTGTACCGAGAGATTTAGGATATCGTTACATCCCTACTATATATCTATAGTTTGTTGAGAGTTTTGGTGGAGGACGCAGTCTTGTCTAGCCATTGGAATATATGACACAAATTGCTCACTTGATTCACATTTAAAAGGTCCATATTACAGTATTTTCTGATCTGTTATAATGTTGCTGACTCATCAAAACATACCTAGAGTTGTGTTTGTTTCATTCACACATGTTTAACACACAAATCCTGCATATTTAAGCTGAGTTCTTCTCTCAAACTGAAAACACATGACATGTGGTAATACAGGAAGTGTTTTTAAACTCCACACACTTCACTAGAATCATTTGGATCATTTCTGCCCTGGAATTGCCGATCTCTACTGACGTAAGAGTAAAAGGATCACAAGGAGGAGATATAGACCACGAAAATTAAGGGTTACTCAGATGTCTAAATGAAACAAAACCCAACTCCAGGTCTGTTTCTGAGGAGGTGTGAACATTTTAACGTGATTAAAAGCTTACAAGAATCCATTTTGTGTAACATAGGACCTTTAAAATCCATATGCAATTTGGCACTACTCTGTTAATTGCTGCATTTAAAGTTCATAGCATTTAATTTGCAATCGTTAATTAGTTTCAGACCCCTGTGGTAAGCTCGTGTGGCTGCGTTACACTTTAAATGAGTTAACTTTTTCATTGCTCAGAGTGCAGAATATAAATTGTTGTTTACTCACGATATGCAGTTATCCTATTATAGATTTGGTCTAGAAGTTCTAATAATGCACAAATTAAAGCTGACTATAGTTGTGAGGTTATAGTCTAATTTATCACATTTTTGCACAATTTTATCATTAATTAATAGTTTTATTTTATTTTGTATTTTTTAAAATTCAATAAAACAGCTTTCAGTATTCATTTTTTGAGCATAAACAATACAGACTTTTAATCATTCCCAAATAACCTCCCCAAAAATTGAAATTTTGTCTTTCTAATATCTGAAGATCTGACCTAATGATATCCTTGCAAATTAAAATCCAATTAATTGCGCACCTCGAACTATCAGCTGTAGCCCTGCTTCAAAAACCCACTTTGGAACCATCATATGAGATTATTTCAGATATATTTTATAGGTTTTGTGTATTTTTCCGCCCATAGTGTTGAGCTAATTTGCACCTCAGTTCAATTTGCGGCTGCATTTCAACCCAAACCTGTTCCGCTCAAACAGATTTTTCATCATTTGTCGTTCAGGTGTGTTCAAATTGATCCTGGGTAATTGCGTTTGCTTTGTGCAGAAAATGAGACGGATCAACAAACAGTGGTCAGGGAGCTGGCTCAGCTTCATGGAAGTGCTTTAGAGCGACTCATTGCATTCAGAAAAATACAAAAATGAGAACTATTCAGAATATGATTATACATTTCAACTCCTTTTTATTTAACATAGCCAAATAATGTGTCCTAAAAATGTGTAACCATAGAAACTACTGGAAAATGTGGTTCAAAATTTGTATGGTAATGATACTTTTGGATCACCTTTAATGACGAAAAATCCACTGATTAATTGAAATACTGTATCTCTAAGTGTTTTTGATGATCAGATTTCTTTTGAAAATGTAAATACACCAGAAATCTGCTTATGGGGTTATCTGATTATTCTATTTATGTATTTTTACTGGCCAAATATATGTACCCACCATTTGGCCCAGGTGTAATGAAGGATGGGTCAAATGCAGAGGACAAATTCTCCAATACAGGGACAATTAACAATACACAAATGATGTAAAGTTACTAAAACCAACCTTAAAATGAACTGTAATGTAAAATAAACTACTTAAGGTGGGACAAATCCTCTAAACTTTGCTTATAATCACATTTTAACTAGAACTTCTAAACTGGGCGGTACCTGGACGATGTGTCATGGAGTCTGGGGATATAAAGAAGAGTGTAATTGGTCTAAAGGGTATCGACGCATCAAATTCTGCCTCTAGAGCTGGGTATTTGTGCTCAGAAACACCAGGCTGTAATTAGGGCAGTCATTTGTGATGTCACCATCTACTGGGACTTACAGAAACTTACATTTTGTCCAGAAAGCTGCACTAAATGTTCTAAAAGTTGCCAAAAATGACAGTAGATAATGCTCCTAAATCGCCATATACACAGTTCAGTTCAGTTCATCTTTATATCGGAGTCATGGTCCATTTTTAAAACAGACAAGGACAGTGACATTACAAAACAATAAACATACATACCAGTGTCTCCACATATCGGACTGCAGATAAAACTGCACATTAAAATTCTTAGTGCAGCTTGCAAAGTGTTCACTCGTGCAGTAATAAACGTCTCAGTTGCACTCCATCCGTGGCCTCATCAAAAGCACCGTAAAGCATCATCGTAAGCCACCTGCAGTCTTTGCAAACTGGCTTTTTTGTAATTAATCCTGAGGTGGGCTGTGTGCAATGGTGTACAATATGATTTAAACAATAAGAACTTTACATCATTTGTCCAAGAACCAAATTTGCGCATAAGAGTTGAGCTGTGAAAGTGTATTTAGTGTTTTAGTTCCATTTTAAAGAAACAAAATCTACATTTACAAGTCAAATGGACAAGTCTGAAACACTTTTGTGAAGCTGACCCAGTGGTAAAGTTTGATTTTAAAGTGTGTTTTTGCCTTATGTTAGAACCATAGACTGTATTTATAACTGGACATGGCAACCTGCTAACCATCGCTTTTCAAGTTTGTTTTTATTCTGGCTTCAATTCACTTTGTATTGAAAAAAAAAAAAAAAAAAAAAGCCACCTTTCTCCATAACTGCTGCTGTTAGGCTCTTCATTTTGGTCTTAAAATGTTCGTATTAACCCGCTTTATATGGTCCTGCTGTTTTTTTTTTTATATGGAACTTGGCTCCAAATTTGCAAATTCTATAAATGCAGGCCTCGGTGAGCTTCATTTGACTGGAGCCGAACACACTCCCTTAGTCCACTTCTTTATACAGTCTATGGTCCGAACCCCCTGCAGTGTTTTTAGTGTGGAATGTGAAAACTTACTGTAACTAAAGGGTGCTGAATTAATTATTATCCAAAAATGTACACAGTTTGATTTTTTTTTTAAAGATGAGCCAATACATTTTTCACATTTGCTTTATTTTGTGTTTTATCTATTCTATTGTTTCTAAAGAGGCAGTGCAGTTTTTCAAGTTGTGCTAATCTAAACAGAAATCAGATCAACAAAGGTGCACTGTGGAACTTTTCTGGTAGAGGGCTTTTCTCTTTTCTGGAGATGTGTGTGAGCGTTCTTCCATATCCCTCGTTTATCGCGGGGGTTACGTTCTAAAAATAACCTGCAATAGGTGAAATCCGCAAAGTATTCAGCTTTATTTTGTACAATTATTATATCTGTTTTAAGGCTGTAAAATCCCTCACCACACACTTTATAAACTTTTCTCAGACAGGACAGTTACAAACCTTTTGGCATCCTTCTTAAAACTTATTGCCGCTGTCATCCTTTTGTTATTTTCCTCCTTCTTTATGTAACAAACCGAAGATTAATTTATTCCGTAATGCGCTACAGTCGTGTAACTTCTCCCTTCCTTCAGCGTGTCCAGAAGTCCAACTTTTTGTGTGATGGTTTGCGTCTTCCTCTGTCTTTTGGGTGCGACCGCAGGAGTCTTTGTCGGTGCAGAACGTTTCGTCGACATTGTGGGTTTTGTCGGAGAGAAAACTTGCAAACATACAGCACTTCAGAATCACACTGCTAGAGATCGAACATTTATGTAAATGTGTCAAGCTGAACACATTCTGTACTGTACAGGAGACACGGCATGGAGGAGATTGATTGACAGTGGTCTGCAGCCAATCAGGACGCAGGGGGATGAACACAATGCGAGTTCAATTGCAGTAAAAAAATCCACGAAATGGCGATGCTGCGAAAGGTGAACTGCATTATAGTGTGGGACAACTGTATTATCATAGCTCAAAACTCTGTGACATTCTAAAGAAGCAAAATATCTCCATGGAAACTACTATGTTGGGACTTTACACCAGAAAAGTTACATGGTGCATCTTTAAACAGAACTCAGAATTTATAGCAAGACAATTAACCTCAAATGAAATTCAAGTTGTAGCTTTCTACAATACAAAATTATATATTTAAAGGTCCTATATTCTATGTTATAATGTTGTTTCTTCGTCAAAAACTCTTCTTCAGAAACATAGCGGAGTTGTGCTTTTCATTCACACGTTTAACACACAAACGCCACAACTCCACACACTTTCACTAGACTCATTTGGATAATTTCAGTCCTGGAATTGCACATCTCTACTGAATTAAAGGTAAAGTGTAGCTGTGAGCTTAAAAACTACTGCTACAAGACATCACAAGGTGCAACAGAGCGTTTTGAGCTTTGGAGATGTACAAACTAATAATAAATCTTTACTCAAACGAGTGAATGAAACAAAACACAACTCCATGTATGTTTTTGATGAGGTAACATGGCTTTAATAAGTATGAAATGACAACATTGTGCGTGAATTGAAAAGCTGCCCTGTCTCTTTAAGATGTTGATGTTATTATTTTAAAGTTGTTCATATCCAAAGATTTAAAGGCACAGGTCCGTTGTAACCGTTATACAGACCAATACTGTAAACCAGATGCACAACTCAAGCACAGTCCCCAAAGCACACTGATTAGGCTCCCTCCAATGGCCGCCCTCTATAACAACTCCATAGTATTAATATTTTTTAATCTTATTTTCTATATAAAACTGGTCACCAACATAAATAGCACAGATTCAAAGTATAAATCCCTGTATAAGATCGTCAGTGATGCCCTACAAAGCTAAAAAGCGGTTAACTAAAGATATAGCTTGCATAACATTGAAGATTAATGGACATTTTAGAGTGATTTTTGAGTAAATGCATTTATAAAATCACACAAATAAATATGTGAAGTTACAATTTTGAAATAAATGCAATTCCTTTGGGAAATAAACAGTAATTTGGACTGCGGAGTTTATGTTTCAACCAAACCAGTGATAAAAATAAGTAATGTAATACAAGCTGTTGTTGGGAGTAAAGCAAATTTCCAAATTGATGTCTCAGAGGTATCCAAAATGAAAAATAAAATTGGAACTTTTCTGGAACGTTATCATTTTCAATAATACTAAATCAAAGGTGTAATGGTACGAAAGGCTTAAACAGTATCACATCTGCCCACATTTCTGACAATTTGCAAAAAATATTGTCTGATTATCACCGTTTTTTGTCAATAATATCCACGATTATGTTACAATTAACTGCGCTTTGTCTCATTTGACAGAGTGGTGCTGCAATGGTTCTGTCATTTAAAGCAAAATTTACCATACTGTGTAATGATCATGATGAACTTATGATTGTCAAGTGTTCTTTCTGAGCCAAAAATAGAGAAAAAATATGAATAACCTACATACTTACATACAATATGGCCTTTGTCTGCGATTTGAATGTAGAGCGTTTTAAAAGATATCAGACATAAACGAACTTGTTATATTGGCTTTAGATTCCAAGGACTCTGCACATTTTTATACAAGTGATAATCTGGGTTTTTGAATTAGAGCTGCACTTTCATTGTAGCTAGTAGTAGTAGTAGTAGTAGTAGTAGTAGTAGTAGTAGTAGTAGTAGTAGTAGTAGTAGTAGTGTATGAGGAGCTCTGAGTAGCAACAGTCTAAAATTGTAACAGGAAAATGCGCATTATACGCCCAGTTTACTTACTCGTGCTCTGCTATTTTTGAACTCTGCTGCCGCTAAACCACATACAAAAACAGTTTCAGTCAAAACCCCAAGATGTAAAAAAAATCAGAACCGATCAGGCATAGCATTTTGACCTGAGGTGATAATTGTAACACACATTGTCACGGGACCGGTCTCCACAATACGATTTGAAGTTTACTATGGGTTAAGGTTAGAGTTAAGGCTGTAAATGGACATAACTAACCTGCTAGACGCCCTGTTCCAAATAGAAGTGAGCATGGGTGCGCTTCCAGGTCCATTGATTCTGGCTCCAATTGACTTTGTGTTGAAAAAAATGTCACACCTCTCTTCATAACTCCTCCTGTCAGGCAAAATAGGCAAAAACGGACAAAACAATGAACCAAACTCATCATTTCAGCGAACCAAAATGATGAGTTTGGTTCACTGTTTTGTCTGTAAATCAATTCCTTTTTCCCAATATGGAACTCGGCTCTAAATTCGCTCCTAAAATTGCAAGCCTCAGGGAGATTTATTTGGCTGGATCCAAACGTTATGGGTGACAATATACTGCCTTAGTCCACTTCTGTGTCTCAGAAAGGTGTGGAAACCCAAAACTGCAGCTATTTCCTGTTGGCAGTGGTCAGTATCTAACAGAATTGCTTTGGTTAGTCCAGGATTAGACCTAGTTTAGTGTTTGTGGGTGTTCCGTCTGTATCTACTATGTGTTTTAGACCGGGTTTAGTCTTGGATTGCACTGGGTAAGTCCTGGTTTAGTTGGGTGGTCTAGTCCAGTGGTCCCCAACCTTTTTTGCGCTACAGATCAGTTTTATGTCAGACAGTATTTTGGATATATATTGACCTGTTTTAGAACTGTTTAAGACCTAGTTTAGTCCTGGATTAGTCCTGGTTTAATCCTGGTTTTACACCTGTATTTAGACCTGTTTAAGACCTGGTTTAGTCCTAGTTTAACCCTGGTTTAGTCCAGGTTTAGACCTGCTTTAGTCCTGGCTTTAGACTTGTTTTTACACCTGTTAAAGACATGGTTTAATCCTGGTTTTATACCTGTTTTTAGACCTGTTAAAGACTTGGTTTAGTCCTGGTGTAGTCTTGGTGTAATCCTGGTTTAGTTCTGGTTTAGACTTGGTTTAGACCTGGTTTTAGACTTCTTTTTACACCTGTTTAAGACATGGTTTAATCCTGGTTTGAGACCTGTTTTCAGACCTGTTTAAGGCCTGGTTTAGTCCTGGTTTAGACCTGGTTTAGACCTGGATTAGACCTGTTAAAGACCTGGTTTAGTCCTGGTTTTAGACCTGTTTTTTAGACCTGTTTAAGACATGGTTTAGTCCTGGTTTAATCCTGGTTTAGTCCTGGTTTAGACCTGGTTTAGTCCTGGTTTAGTTCTGGTTTAGTGGCACAGCTATCAAACTCTACTTCTAAAAACCCACATTATTACTTACTAAATATTTGCACATGTATGAAACTTTATGGCTACACATTCAAGAATATTCTAAAACTGTGTTAGATTTATGCACAAATTCCACCTCTCCTGGGTCGAACAGGGCTTCCCCAGTGACACTGAAGAATGGGTCAAATGCAGAATTCATATTTCCTGTATATGGGGACAATAAAGTGTACCTTAACCGACTTTAAAAACATTTTAGACGTAGATTACTCAATATTCTTTTCTCAGTATATACTTAAATTACTTTCAAAATAAAATACCTTAATATTTCTAATGCATTTTTATTGGGGGTGAACTTTTTTTTAATACTCAAAGGTGCCAATTCTTGCTAAATGACTTGAGTTTTGTGTGACGACTTTCTTAAGCTTTAATGTTGCGGTGCTCTTGCTGTTCTTTATAGCCATGGTTCTTATGATGCATCTATGTTTATATCTTATCTGTAAAGGTTGCGTTCACGTTATAGAATTTGGTGATTGCATGACTTCACACGGAGGGATCTGAAAATCTGATATTTTTTGTAAACTTTTTGAAATTATTCTCAAATGTTTAATTTTATTCTTTGTTTGAGATTGGCTCCACAAATTTGCGTGTTTGTGTTTGCGTTTGTGTTTGTGTCATCCAGGTCCAGGATCCATAGTAAAGGAGAGATTTAATTCTGCCAACTGGACAAAAGTTTTTTTTTTTTGTTTTTTTTTTAACCAAATACATTTCGCAGCTCATCCAAGTTGTTTCAGAGTAGTTTCAGTCAGGGTTCTCACAGTCATGGAAATCCTGGAAAAGTCATGGAAATTGAAAATGTCATTTTCCAGGCCTGGAAAAGTCATGTAAGTTTGTAAATTCAATGAAAGTTTTGGAAAAGTCATGGAATTTTAGTATCTCTTTCACGCAACTACAGCATTCTGTTAAGTTTTCATGAGGCTGTTATGATTATTTCCAAACGTCTGCACCTTTTGTTTAAAAGAGACGACAATAAATACACTGACAGTATTTTGAATGTTAAAAAACTATAATACAAAACCATAAGGTGAGTGGAAAGGGTTAACATTTCATATTCAGCCCTAAAAGTTTCTTATTTCTTATTTTATTTATTTGTAAAGGGACAGTACATATTAATGAACATTAAAAATGTAAATATGTAAAGATTATAGCCAACGTGGCTAATTTCCATCTTCAGTCCCTCAGCAGGTTGATGTAAAATCATCTATAGGATGAGGAAAAGTACAGCAACAATCACACAAAAGTACACAACACCAGCACACTCACTATACACACAATTTGTTTCAAACAGTTCATTTGAAGTTCAAAGTCAGAAGTTTAAGAATTAAGTCAAGAGTTAAACCAACAACCCCTCAAAATAAAATAAAATATAAATTGGTTAAACATGGTGACATATTTGAAGTCTGATCAATTCTACACATGTAGGTTCCGTAAAATCATGGACAATTCACTTTAAGTCATGGAAAAGTTTTCAAATTCTGTCAGTGAAAAAGAGTGGGAAGGCAGTGTCCACCAGTATTCTGACCAGAACTGAAGAAGCAACTTGGATGAGCTGCGAAACGTATTCGATCAAAAAACTTTGGTCCATTTGAAAGAATTGAATTTCTCTTTCGCTGCATGTCTTAGAGTCCTTTCAACTGACAACAATACTTGGGGTTAAATAATGGCACCGCCTTCTGAAGCCATTTTGTGTGTGTGAGAAGATGTTGAACTTTGTGCCAATTTTTATTTCATGTGATTAGAACCAGTAATTACAAAGACATTAACACAGAACCAAGTCAATAAATCTGCACTCAGTTAAACAGCAAATTCCACCGTAGGATTCTGACCTGTCGTCCAGCTCAACGTTCGACTGTACGGAGTCGACAGTGTTGTGATATCACGTGAACGCATCCTAATGGACATTTTCTCCTGCTTGCTTTTATTGTGAAAAGGTCCCGCTCTCAGGATCTAAAGTGCCGCAGCCAATGACGTCTGTTTTCCATACTGCTCCTGAATAAATGTGTCCTTTGTGTTATTAATCATGACTCTGAGGGTTTCACTTGAACCACTTCACTGATTAAAGAAGGTAGTTTATTCATTATATGGTAATAGGCTCTAATGGTTCACCGGATAAACAGGTCACTGAATTACTTTAAAGGATAAATGTTAGAGTTACACAAGGAGACAGATAACTAAAACTAAGCCAAATATTTTAGAAAATGTCTCTTTTGCTGGAGGTTTATGGTTGGGGATTTTCAGGTTTTTGCAGGGCCCATATTATACTATTTTCTGATCTATGTTATAATTTAGTTAAAAACATATCTGGAGTTGAGTTTTGTTTGATTCACAAATCATATTTAGGCTGTTTTCTCTCTCAAACAGAAAACACTCTGTTACAGGAAGTGCTCGACTGTGTTTAACTTTCATACACCTTCACTAGAATCATTTTTGATGATTTTAGAACTGAAATTGTTTATCTCTACTGAACTAAAAGGTCAAAAGGTATAGCTGTTAACTTGAAAACTACTTGAAAGCTTCATGACATTTCAAGGTGGAACTGAGCATTTTGAGCTTTGAAAATTTTATTGACTAATAATAAAGAGTTACTCAAACATTTGTGAATGAAACAAAACACAACTCCAGGTCTGTTTTTGAAGAGGCAACAACATTATAACATTGTTTAAAGCTCACAAGAATCCATTTTTCGTAAATTTTAACCAACAGAAACGGTAAAAAGAAAATAAATTTCTTGTTAAAGCTCAAGATAATAATGTATATTCATTAGATTCATTAGGGCTGGGAATTATTAAGAAGTTGCTGATACGATACACACCTCGATACTCGATATTTCAAAACTATTCGATACAGTTCAATAAAAATAAAGGCTGAATCATGTCTGTGATACTAAAAGTCTTTGTTAAACCACTTCTTGTGCAAAGTTCATATGAAACACAAACATTTTAATCATCAAAACAGTGAAAATGTCAAATATGTTGCATGAACGAGTTTCCTTCCTCTGAACAAGCAACAAAACTGTAGCGCTGTAACAAAATAATTAGTAAAAATATACCAAAAAATATTCTTGGCGATATATCAATACAGCACTCGCCAAAATCAATACTGTATCATCACATTAAATGATACAATATATTGATATTTTTGCACATCCTTAATAGTCATACAGTGTAAAATAATGTGTTCCTGACGTTTCTGTAGATATAGGTACATTGATATGATTCTCAGACAGTTTTCTTTCAAATTACCAATATGAAAAGGCAGAACAGGGGCTCAACCAGGTCTAAACCAGGATTTAATAAAATCTAACGAAGACTTTACCCATAACTAATCTCAGACAGACCTGAATCTCAACAAAAATTAAAACTAAGTGCATACTAGGGTCACTTAACTAGGACTAAATGACAAAACTCAGGACTCAACAGGGACTAGTACAGGACCAAACTAAGTCCATGTCAAGTTTGAGTCATTTTTAGATCAGTGTTTATCCCTGAGCTCTTAGTTACTGTTCTTCCAAAACACTTTTAATGTTTTCTATTTTAAGATAACATTAAGGTGATGGGCACAAGCTTCAAAGCGGATTCTGTGGTCCATGAGCGCCCTTCAGTGGATAAAAAATGAAGTGCACAGCTGTATTACGTTACAACTAAGCACCGTATGGTAATCTGCACTCACACAACTTTCTGATCACCACGATTGGCCTTATTTGGTGTTAGCACAGTCCTGCACCAAAACTAAAACAACCAAAGAGATTCAAGTTGGACGTTTTTTTTGTTTTGTTTTGTTTTGTTTAAACATGCAATCATTGTGTAACCTTACTGGTGAAAGCTTTTTTCCATGGAGACGTTCACAGTTTGGCGTTAAACCTTTCTATTCTCATGGAGACCAAACCAGACCAAGTTACTTTTAGACGTGCGGAGATGCAAATCACAGTCAGAATGCCTGTTTCTCTAGATATCTTGGGGCTATACAACCACTTGTAATTGAATAAATGTAAGGTAGATCAGTTTAATGTCATATTGTGGAATATTCTAAGCAGAGCAATGACATATCTGGGTCAGTCCACCTGAGTTCACCCAATGAGTTAAACCCTGCTTTGTCACATTTTTATGAAACTTGGTAAAAAGGTAAATTATAGCCAGAAAAGCCCAAATTTCTCATTTTAGTTTGATCGGACCAATGGTTTCTGGGATATCGTGATTTAATTTTTTCACTTTTTTGTGTGGTCACTGAATTTCAAATTGCATTTACTCAAAAAACAAGGTAAGGGGACATCATAAGGAATCCAAATCTGGCATTTATTTTTGCATTTGAGTACTTTTGAGATGAATTACCTTTTGACCTATATTTTGACCTTAATAGTGACTGTGACAAAGTGGGCCTTTGTCTCATTTAAAATTCACCTTAGTTTATGTTAAACATTTTGATTTTGGAAAGACACCTTTTGCTTTGCTTTACCTGGAACTGGGGGAGGTACTTCCTGCTGGGTGGATTATAAAAGGCAAGCAGGCGTCATCAATTAGGGGAGAGACTTCTGTGCAGGTTGTTTGGTGTTTGTTGATTTGAGTCACTTTATTTGAGCCTACACTGTAAGTCTGTTTTAAAATAATTTTTGTCTATGTAAAGACACCTTTTTTTTGTGTCATCTGCCTCCTACTTTGACCACTTTGGCCAGCTTCCCCACAGTGACAATAAAAGACACGCCCAACCTCAATGACACCAACAGAAAAAATGTAGCCCTATACTTCTACTACAACATATAAAAAATCTGGAATGGTTTTCTTTTTAATTTTCACACAAACTGACCTAGAATTTGACTTACCCCCATCTTAAAACATGCCAAATATCCATTCAGTGTATATTGAGGTGGAATAACCCATCCATAGAAACTAGTAGGTTCCGAATCTCCAAACAAAAGTTACACAGTGCACCTTTAACACACATATGGTATACACTAACTTATTACATTTAGATTTTTTGTGCGGGTGACAACATTTAAAGTATTCAGTATTATACCTGATATTATTAAGTATTAGTTATTATTATTAAGTATTACAGTTAGTCTATAAAGGGAAGATTACTTTGTCACCGGAAAAGGTTAATTCTGTCTTCAGCTTTTTGCATTTCATTTTATTCGTTCTGTCTCCACTAGATGGCGATGCTGCTTGTGTTTTAGAATTAAACACCCATTTACACACAGGGTAACATCATGCCTTGGATTGGTTTCTCTGACGTTTATTGACACTTTGCAGGACCAAGAATTGATCACAGGCTCCTAAAGATAATGATAGTTTAATCCTATTTTGTATTTTTTCTTAAATTTTCAGACTATCTTAAAACGTTTTTGGTAATTATTGCTAATGTGAGCATTGTGTCACCATGGTAACCACTGAGAGTTCAACCACAGGCATAGAGGCAGAACACCCCCAGCATGATGTCACTGCAACATGTCAATAGGCTCTTTAAAATGTGCGGACATAAACGTACTAGACTCGAAAATGGAAGCAACTGGAGGCAAAAGCAAAGTGGAACATAATGTGATTTCAATACAGAAGCCAGGATAATGCTCAAAATATTATAAAAATCACAAAATATGAAAAATCAAGGTGTGTTTATCAAACGAGACCCGCTCAGATACATGTGGGTGATATCAGAGCCCAGATTAAAGACATTTGCAATTGTTTTAACATTATTTGTTTATTCAAAGGTGCATTGTGTAACTTTTCTGGTGGAAGGTCTGTTAAATGCTTTTCCTTGTATTATAGCTTTGTCTGGAACGTTTCACAGTTTGATTTTAACCATTTTATCATCATGGAGACCAAACCAGACCAAGTTACAGGTCACATCTGTGGAGAAGGCGACCCCGCTCACAGTCAGAATGCCTGTTTTTCTAGGTATTTTTGAGCTATTTTGAACTATTGAGTATTTCTGAACCGCCCGTAATTGAATAAATGTACGGCTGAGGTGTTTAATGTCATACTGTGGAACATTCTAGGCAAAGCTGTGACATATCCATAGAAACAAGTAGGAAACAGACCACCAATCTAAACGTTATATAATGCACCTTTAATAGCAGATTATTACACATACTCAGCTTCATTTTTAGGTTTTGCTGAACAAATACTTACAGAACTGTTGAACATTCTATACATTTTCATTTTATCTTCAAAAATATCACATACTTCACCACAAATGACACTGTTTGTGAGGCAAAAATACAATTCTGATGCTATTTTTTTATTTTATTTTTTTAATAGTACAGCAAACTGTCATTTCTACCCCAAAAATTCAAAACTGTATCTTATTTTTTGCCATGAATCCATTTGCATTTTGATCTGATGTCATTTATTCACTGAAAATGTGCTATGGTCGATTAAATACAGCCTCCAGTCGCCTCCATTCGGTTATTTTTAACACTATTATGACATGATATTAAAGGGTCTATTAGTTTCATACATGTCCTAATGACAGAACAGCTCAACATCAGCTGGTATTTTCTGTGTTTCCATATAGACGTTAATTATCCATCACATTTACTGGCAACAAGAGCTTTTAAAGTGCATTTGACTTTTATGGTCCATTACTTTACCTCAATTTGCACATGCAACACCCAGTGAAGCACATCTCATTTAAACCTGTTGTGAAATATCCAGACAGGCTTAGTGGATAATTCTTTACACATATCATTTGGTAGTAGGAGTGTAACGATATCCAAGTCTCACGATACGATATTGTCGCGGTATGAACCTCACAGTACGATATTTATTGCGATATTGTGGGAAAGCTCATGATATGGTGGGGAGGGATGTAACAATATCCAAATCTCTCAGTAAGATATTTTCACGATATACACCTCACGGTACGATATTTATTGCAATATTTTGTGGAGGCTAAAAAAACTGTGAATATGCTACTTTTTCCTCTTAAAATGCCTTGACAAGACTTAATCCAAAGACTTAAAACTGCTTAGAACTGTTATTTCTTGTAATTTGCACTGAAATGGAGCAAAGGATCATGGTCTATG